AATAGATAACGTGGGTCACCAGTGATCCATACGACGCTTACTATTATTTAAAGGATAAAGGTCAGCGTTGGATGGTATCAAAGAAAAACTATAGATTTCTGTTTAAAGGGATGTAAGGTTTACCCTTATGAAGTTTAAAATCGATCGTTCCCATAGTTTTTTAGACTCTGCTGAAAAAAAATTTTTAATCTCGGCGAAACGTTCAGTTTAGTTGTGTAAAATCAATTTCCATAAAATTATTCGTATTTTAATACAACGGGAGACAAGCACGATCAATCATATTACTCGTTTTTTATAGGACAGCAATATTGAAATTTAATACTCGACCGACCAATCTCATATTACTAAAAACTCTCTTTTTCTTTGGTTTGGGGATTAAACGTGTTTTTGCCATCATAATCAAAAATATTAGCCGTCATAATATTAATTATGCTATAGATCTTTTTTTTTTTTTATAAAACTTTCTGGATTCATCGATTATTTTTCAACACTTGTATCTTTAAATTTAAAAGTTTCACATACGCATTTTCGAAGACTTCTCGGAATAATCGAACTTTTGATTTTTGCATATGAACAACAAATTTCTATTTTATTACGCGAAGAGCATGCAGAGAAATACATCGTGATTTCGCAAAATTGATGTCTCGAGTTTGTGCGTATTCTTTCTTCGAGTTTCTTCCTTCGAGGCTCGTCCTTGAAAAACAAGCAAAACTAAACTTCGAAGCGGAAATTCCATTCGTCTGGCGCGCAGACGAATGAGCTGGCGGCAATTTCGAGCGGATTCCGAATTCGCAACTCACCGCTTCCGGTTTCGTCTTTCCCGATCCCGTTTCCTGCGAAATAGCTCAGCCAATCCGAGCACCTCGTCTACGCGAAAATCTAGTTGTAGAGAAAACTTTGTCGTTCCGCCTGATACATTGCTGCAGACTTTCTTTCCATAGCGAAAGCCAGTTAATTCGTCTTCGATTCTACTATCGATAACATTATTTTTGCCGTTGAAAATTTATCGAGATATCTGGGAAATAATTATAATAGTAAAAATCAAGAGATATAAGATAAGATGACAAGTTTTAGAAAGGGTTTATATTTAGTTTCCCGTTCATAAAGGTATTTCTTCTTTTTTTTTAAATAAATCGTACGTACGATTAAATCGTCCGCTTCTATCCGATGCAATGGTCCATCGTCGACTCCAAATGGAAGATAAGCGAACTTTCTGTCGCGTATCGATCCGAATTCCGATTCAATTTTCTACGTTCTCGATGTACACGGCGAAATGCCATGCATTCGAGATATAAGACGCACAATACACGATCTAATCTACAAATGTACGACAAGTACATCGACATTGACACAAATGAGAATTTTATCTCAAAATATCGCCCGATAATTTCAATTAATGAAACAATTAAATAAAAACGATAATTTTATCAAGGTATTTTTAACGATATTAAAAATATGTCTAATCGGTATATCGTTTTTCCCTCTCGAAATTCAACGATTCGTTCATTTTCGAATCCATATTTCGTTTCGCGAGAATTTGCGAAAAAAATGATTCGATCCGGGCATCGTTTACCCCGCCGATAGTTATTTATGCGAGAATCATGTAAATATGAACGAGTCGAATGTGGCACGTGAAACGGGCGAGGAAAGCGAGAAAGCGGTAAACTTTACCATAATAATTACACGCATCGGTCGCGCCTATTACGCATGCTTGTAATAGGTCGAGACGCGAAATAACTATAATTTACGTGTATCACCTTATTCCGTATGCCGAGTACGGTCGTAAAGTATTTGCGCACAGGCCCCGGGACCGTCGAAAATTATAATCAACCGCGAGTTATTTAAGTTGGCAATTTTATTTCGCTCCGTCTCTGTCCATCAACGGACGAGTCCTGCGGATATACGGAGGAATCACGGTTTCGGGATTCCATGGACGGTGCCCGAGAGTCGACCAGAAGACAGCGGCGGTCTGCTCTATTATTAGCCGTAATGGGCCGGGAAAACTTTCATTAACTTGTCCGATGCCTAATTCATGAGACAAGGCCGCGATACCGCGCCTCTTTCTTCGTCTTGATCCAAAGAAGAATTCGTATCCGATCGAAGAAACGGATTTTGATTTGGAAGAAGAGAAAGAAAGAAAGAGAAAAAAAATTAGTTTTAATAAACGATTCTTCTCCAATGTATAGTTGAGAAGTTCGGGAGAAGATCGGACGAGCAAATATATCTTTAATGGAAGATTATTTGGTTATATTTTCGATGTTATACAAATGTAAATAGGAATCCATCGTAGGAAGGAAAAAAATTAATTAGATAAACTTTTAAATTATGAGATCATAGAATTTTTTTGTAAGCTAAATGATATTGAATTGAAATATTATTTTGTTCGTTGTTCGAATACATCTTTATCCTTATCAATGAAGTAATTACTATTGCATTTATCAAAATATTAATTAATATTTTGATTTCTCTAAAATATATATATGTATATTGATATTTGCAATTATCTATTTATCGTTTCGTCTTTCTCAAAATTAAAATCATATTATTGTATGTGTTCGCTTTAATATTTAAATATATAGTTAATAAAGTTTAAATTCAAACTTTTCTTTTCTGCCATCTATGGAGTATTACAAGAACTATCTGAGAAACAGGAAATGAGTTGCATACTTTACCTACCGTCTCCATTTCCTGTTACCGACGCTCTTTTCGTATCTGTTGTTTCCTTCCTTCCCTTGAATCGATGTAAACCGTTGTCATAAACTAATTCTAGAATAAATTTATTATCCAATGGATTTTGATAAACGAAAAATTTTTGTCAAAGTCTAACGCGCTTGCTATACAATTTTTACCTTGACCTTATTTTGACCTTATCAATTTAACCTCTCAAATCTGTCAATGTAATGTACATCGAGTAAGAAAAAAATCATTCAATATATCTGAACAGATAAATGATTATTAAAATATTATATTTAAATAAACAAGCTAAATGTAATACGTTCAATTCCTAAGAATTCTAAGATTAATTAAATTAAGAAGATGGCGATGAAAGAATATTAAATATCTCGTGAATTATTGATTGTTTGCTTTCAAAAAACATCGTTCGTTTAAAAAATTAACATCATTAGCTTCAATTTTGTGTATAAAATGATTAATAAAATATATTTTTTCTTAACGTGTGAATGAATATTGATTAGATATTTTCAGTAAAAAGATATTTTAAATACAATAAGTTATTGTCGTGTCTATAATTCTATATTATTAATTAGTTATATAAACCATACATACATTTATTGTGAAATAAAGTAATTTTCTGTTTTGTAATGATACAATATCATTCAATGGAAATTTTGTAATATTTTAGATGATTCAGCAAATCTAGCATAATTTTTCTTTTTATTTACTATTATTTATTTCTCTTATATATGCGATTTAGTATTTTACAAGTTTTAATATATGATTTAAAATTTTACAAGTTTTTTTAATAATGGAAAAGTCATGAAGTTACATTTTATAGGAAAACAAATATTATATAAAAAATAAATAAATAAAACAGACAAAAATATCATACATAAAATTAGAATAATATTATATAATAAACAAGAAAATATACAAATTGAGATATATATTATCTGAGATATATATTATAAAAGATAATTTGCGATAATACAATATTTAAATATTTATTAATTTATTATTTCATTTCTTGTAATAAATAAACATATTTAACATAGTATAATAAATAATATAATGTACTATAACATATTATTTATAATGATAGCATATTTCTGTGAAGTTAATCATTATTCAAATTAATGCAGATAATTATGCATATAATTTTAATAAAGTTTATCGAAGATCGAAAAATTGAAAAGAACGTTGATTAAATTAAGAATTAATTATTAAAAATATTAAAATATTATATTTAAATATAAAATCTAAATATAATAAATTGAATATTGAATATAATAATACGTAAATGTAACAATAACATTAAAAAAAATAAAATAAATTCATATAGTATAAGTACGTATTCATAAGTACGTTATGTTAAAAATGACTAGTATCCTTCATTCTTACTGCGTCTATATAATAATTGTCTATGATATATATATATATTTATATACATATATATATACAATATATCATTTAAATCTTAATTATTTTCTCAATTATTTTTTAAATTATTATTTAAATATATTTCAAATATAATTTCAATGAGCGGCCAAACTAATAAAACTTTGGTATAATACAATTTTTTGTAGATAAATTAATAAAAAATTTTTTGAAGATTAATTTTATTTTTTTAATGAAAACATATATTTTTAAATATATAAATAAATTTTCCAAAATTCAAGTTAAAATTTTGAATATTTTAAATCATTTTTGTACATAGAATTACTCACTATTCATTTTCGTCATCATTCATCATTCCTTAAATATTTTTTCAAATAATTTTATAAACAAGAGAAACAAGAGAAATATTCCGCAATATTCTATAACTTTATCCGTAGATATGATATTTTTGGCCAATATTCGTTAATGTATTCGTTAATGCAACGAATTTAACTATTATCTTTTTTTTATCATGTTCAATATCTATATATAAAATATGTGCGTATTTGTAATACAAAATTCAACAATTCGTTGAAATTCCTTGAAATTGCATTATCAATTTTTCCCTGTTTGACGTACATTTATTTAATCAAATTATGATAATTTAATTAGCAATTTTAAATTAAATAATTTTTAATTTTGATAATAATAAATTATTTAATTTAAATGAAGATAAGTTAAATTATTTTATCGTAGAAGATGAAATATTTACATCAATTAATATAGCAAAAAATATAGTTCTTATTTATTGGAAAAAGAAAAATTTTATTTCTAAAAAATTATTTCTATATATTTTTATGATTATTACTTATATCAACTGCGAGACGACTTGCTATTAATTCTTTATTATCAATGACATGCAAGAAGGAAAAATATAGAAAGGAACAGCTTAGAAGGAAACGTAGCCTAGATAACTAATATATACACTGTAATATATACTATACACTCCGTATATATAGATATTTTTCGTTTGATGATGTTCAGTTCGAATCACGAAGTTCTTAAGATCAGAAGATATTTGTAGTGAAAATGTAATTTGACATTGAATTTGTTCTAGTGCTCATTTTCGAAAGTTTTGTTCTATACGAATTGATTTAATTTTATCATAAAGTGTGAAAAAAATTATTATTATTGTTAATTATTATTATTATTCAACTTTTTTTCTTTTCTTGCCTATTATAATATATCTTTCCTATTATAATTCGCTAATATTTTACTTTTTATTTTCATTACATTTTTTTTCATATCTATCTAAAATTCTTTTTTTTCCATATTTGAATAATAATAGATATTATTTTTTATCTTCGTTCTTTTATCACTCGAAATATCAATCAATCTATCTATACATCTTAGCTCGATATCGATAATGTTATAATAATGTTTGTTTTTTTAAATTGAATACATTTTCGTCTATCAATTTTCTTATTTATTTATTTGTTATGATTACTTTTCATTATTATTTTTTCTATCGATATCAAAATTTCCCAAACAAAAATTAATTCTTTTATAGATTCGTTCAAAATGACTCTTTTAACACCATATTGGAGTCTGGATATCCTCATCGTTTCCTCGTCCTTGATGATAGCTGCCTATTTGTTCATGACTCGGAAATTCAAATATTGGTCGAGAAAAGGTGTTATGGAGATTACTCCCACACCCTTCTTTGGCAACTTTGCAAATTGCGTATTGTTAAAGAAATCACCTTCAGAATTTATAAGAGAGTTGTACGAACAAAGCGAAGGATTGCCTTTCATGGGCTTTTATATTTTCGACAAACCGTTCCTTCTAATTCGTGATCCTGAACTCGTGAAACAAATCTTGGTGAAAGATTTTAATATATTTGCGAATAAACACATATCAGCGGATAGTAAAAATGATCGTATTGGATATTCAAATCTGTTCGTAATAAAGAATCCCGCATGGAAATATCTCAGAGGGAAACTTACGCCGATCTTTACCTCGGGCAAGCTAAAAAAAATGTTCGAACTAATGTTGATAATCGGTAAAAATCTGGAGAAACATCTGGAATCATTGAATTTGGATGGTAAATCGCATTTATTATTATGATCATCGTACAATCACAAAAATGTATGATAGATTATGATAGATAAATGTATTTTTCAGGCAATGGAAAAGAAATAGAAGTAAAGGATCTTTCTGCGAATTTCACCACTGATTTGATCGCTAGCACTGCGTTTGGAGTGGATTTGAATTCATTGAAGGATCCGAATGCCGATTTCCGTGTATATGGCAGATTGATCTTCGATTACAATATTAAGCGCGCCTTCGATTTCATTTTAATATTCTTTTTGCCTACTTTGACCAAATATTTCTCTGTAAAATTTTTCGGAAAAGCGACAAATGCTCTCCGAAATACTTTTTGGAGAATGATCAACCAACGAATCGAATCGAATGTAAAAAGGAACGATCTTATCGATTGTCTGATCGAAATGAGAGAGAAACACAAAAACCAGGAAAGTTTTGAAGGTTTCAGTATGTATTTTTAACATTTTTTATTATTATTCATTAATATGCAATATGTAATAGGAAGCTAAGAACGAGGAATTATGATTTCAGAATTCGATGGAGATGATTTAGTATCTCAAGCGGCTGTCTTCTTCACCGGTGGATTCGAAACATCCTCCACTACCATATCTTTTACATTATACGAATTGGCATTGAACCAAGATGTACAAAAAACTCTCAGAACTGAGATTCATGACGCTCTAGCGCAAACTGATGGAAAAATCACATATGATATGGTACGAACACTACCGATAATCATTCAAACAGCACATAATCAACATTTGATCTTTTTTAGAAATTAATGCAATAAAAAAAAAAAAACTGTCAAAAGATTCGATTATAAGACGAAGATAATCTTAATTTTTCCAGATAATGAACTTACCGTATTTAGATATGGTAATATCGGAAACTCTTCGCAAATATCCACCTCTTGGATTCTTGGATCGAGTCGCTCTTCAGGATTACAAAATAGCCAATTCTGATGTGACGATAGAGAAAGATACTCCTATATTCATTCCTATGATTGGTTTTCACTACGATCCTAAGTATTTTCCAAATCCAGAAAAATACGATCCTCTTAGATTTTCCGAAAATATTAAAAAATCTAGGCCAAATTTCGTATACATGCCTTTCGGTGAGGGACCTCATATTTGTATCGGTAAGTGTAATATTTTTTTTTTATTTATCTTTCGATACGTTTAATATCGAACACTTGTATCATATTATTTATTATTTTATCCTTTAATATCCAAGAGAGGTAAAGTTTTTGAAATTTCGATATAATCAATCAAGTTTCGATCATATTTTCATTCTATGCGAGAAACCCAACAAAATTCTTCATTACGTTATCAATTTGAATAGTGAACTATGAACTATGTTCTACATTCTATATTTGAGAACCAGATATGTAAAACATACAGATATAAATAAAAAACATTTAGATAATAAATATTTACAAAGTCATGATAAAATTATATAAAATATTATCGATATCAATTAGATTCAACATTTTTTTTTATACGATTAGTTACGTATACGAATCATTCAATTTGAAAAAATATATTTTTTATATATATATATGTATATATAATTTGTTTATACTTTGTCGATTAATCATGGACAAAAATATATTTATATATAATTATTTCCGTATTTTTGTTTATTTTTATATCATATTTGCGAATGAATGTTGAAGATACAAAATTGAATAATAAACTGGTATATTAAAAAAAAAAAAAAAAAAA